CCAGGGCTCCAGTGCTCATCAGACTAGCCCACCACAGTTCCAGAGCCCATTGAACTGAACACCTGGGTACCAGTAATAATCTTATCTTTGTCCTTTCAGATTAGAGGTGGAAGTGACAAACCTCATATTGCTAATCACTGGGTTCCTCAACTCTTTCTTTTGGTTCTTCCATCAGCTGTGGAATCAATCCCCTGCAAGAACTTCTCTGTGTTATTTATAAGGTTTCCATTTCTCTAGATAATCCACTATTTCAAGTGACAAATCATATTAATTTTTTCTAACTGTATAGATTTTTTCTGCATTAAGTTTTTTAAATCATATACATCGTATTCCACACAGTCCTTCATTCGCATTGTGTTTCATATAGCCACTCCTATACATTGTGTCTTATAAAATTAATCACCATTAATCTATGCCCACTATTACCCCATCTTTTCAGATTGTCACTGGATTTTTCTAATGTATTAATTCTTTGCATTTATGCTAACTCTGTCACCAAGCAGCTAAATTATGTTTGAGACTCTTCTATACTTAATAACAATAACCCTGACCCTCCTACAAATAATATTATGTCTTTTATCCTCTACTTTTCCTATTTTTACTCTCTTGTGATTATGAAACCATCATGACTTGATGGTGCTCAACAACAAAGTGATTATGTGGCTAAAACATCTGGGTATTTATGATGGCAGTTGTTTTTTAGTTATTGCATGTACTGTAAGTAATAGTACTGTTGCTGTTATGTGCAATCAAGTGAGAATTGACTCATAGCTGGCCGTCCAGTGGATTTTCAGATGTTGTAAATCACAGAGGAGGGGAATCCTCATCTTCCTCCTATGGATCAGCTGGTGGATTCGAACCAACTGCCTTTCAGCTGGCAGTTCAACTCTTTACCACTAGGCCACCAGAGTTACTTACCATAAGTAATAGAGTAATAGATTCAATAGGTAAAAATTTCAAATAATTCAATTAGCACACAGAAATGCATATATATGCAAACAATAAACTTAAAGCCCAAGTGGTATTCATAGGAAAATGCATTATGTTAAATAAATTTAAAAAAAACACTAAGTATTTAAAACACCTAAGCAATTAAAAAACCATCGGGAATAAGCATATACAAAGCCGGTCAGCAATAATGAAGTATAGAAATAATAGCAAACAGTAGGACCATCTAACAAAAAACAATTATTTGAAAATTTAAAACCACTTCTGGTAAACATTATAAATGAATAAGCAAAAAGCATCAAAGTACACCTACACACACACACAAACCAAAAACATCAAACGAAACAAAAATTTAATCTCATTTAGTGCCTACTCCTAACTACCAATTTAAAATGAGTTGAAGAACACAGTAAAAGGACACCAAATATTGAATTCAGGAAAATAAACATTTTTTCAGCAACAAGAACAACAATTTGCAAGAATTAAAGAGGTAAAGTGGACGAACCTATGCACTAGCCAAAATAAAACAAACAAACTTATGGAACAGAAAAATCAAAATGTTTAAGCCATATATGGACATCAAGTCAAAGAATTAAAAAAAAAACCCCATAAGACTGCTAGATATTGTGTACTTATTTCACTTTTTAGGGATGATAATTTTATTGTGTTTATGCTTATTAAGGTATCTTTTCTTTTAAAATTGCATATTGGAAAACTTGAGAGGTGCTATAACATCTTGCATTTACTGATTATTATTATTCCAATGGCAGAGATGGGGGAAGGAAGAGTTAGAACCAGGTTGATCAGGCACTGATGATTTTGATGCTGTATCAAATACACTCGATTAAGGATACTATTCAATTGCATTGATTTATGTGTTAGTGGTAATAATGCATTCAAAAGGATTTAATGATAAATATGTTGTCAAGTTGTAAATAAAATCCTAAGTGAAAGGGACAACTCTTCATAAAAACAATATAACAAATTTCTTCACAAATATAAAATGCAAGCAAAATATGCAAAGTTGAAGCCACCCTAAAAAGTTGTACAATGTAACAGTTTTAGAGCTTAGTTTTTCCAAATGACAAAGGGAAAACTCTTTGTAATCCTGTGTCAACACTTCAACGCATACTTAAAAAAAAAAAAAAAAGAGGAGAAGAGAAACTCATTTCCACAGGCTAACTCTCTGTGATTAAAAATCTAGTTGAGGTCAACTCATGGGTGCGACAGGCCCACACACAGAGCAGAAAATAGTCTACATAAATTACTAGTTTATTCAACACAGTAGTGAGTTAAATGAACAAACAAGTTGTGCTTAAGAAATGAATATATAATTTAACCTCAAAAATTGCTTTCAATTTTAATACTCCACATTAACAAACTACTACAGAAAAAAATTAACACATTAATGGACACACAAAAAGCCTTAGAAAGAATTTCAAAATGAGTGCATAACATAAACTTTTGGCAAAATAATAGAAAACTTCCATTTCCTAAACACTTGAATTCCCATAAAAGTAAAAAAAAACAAGACACTCACCTCTATTCTTCCAAACTGTACTGGAACATAAAGGCAGATCTATGACTATCAAGATAAACATGATGTGAAAAAATAAAACAAATGTGTTGGCAATGTGATACTTTATGTAAAAAAAAAATGTTAAGACTAGGTAATGCAGCATGTGGAATGTTCAAGTAAAACAATTTTGGAAATACACTGATTCTAAAGCCACCATAAACAAATTAAAAGCTTTGCACACAGAAAAAACAAATTAGAACATGTCGCAGAAAATATCCAACTCACAACAGCAACACCATCCCAAAAGTATTAAAGAAGGCTAAAAAATGTACATTATCTATAAGAAGGCAACTATAAAATATTACCAGTACATTTCAGTAAAGGTAAAAATAGATTGGTATTACCATATTCATTGATGGGGAACAGAATGTCTAAGATGTCAGTTTTCAAATTACAGATTTAGCACCTTACTTTTAGTTGCCAGGATGCCAATCAAGGTCTGAATGCTATATTCATTCTGCTCTCAAAATCAAGCCTGGAAAGCAACAGAAAGAAGAATGAAAACAGAATTACATAGTAACAATAAAACTAATTTAAGCAACAAAATATAAGAAATCCCTGCAGTAGAGTGGATATTAAACTAGTATTGTGTTTATTGTGGGAGAGGTTACAAAGTTGGGGAATGTTCATAAAAACCTACAATGAATGACATCTGACAGGAGAGAGAAAAGGAGAGTTTTTAAACTTCTGCCCTTGATCCATCACAGAAACCAGAAGAAATTCCTCAGTAGTTGAGGAGTAACATCAGGAGAGTGGAAAAGAAGAAATTCAATGATGTTGAATGACTCCCAAGGTATATGCATGGGAATAAAAACCTGAAACCATTTAAGTGGATAAGGGACATATACACACTTACACATACACACACATATATATGCATATCATTATACATATGTATAGATAATGAATATATAAATATAGCTAATTCACATAAAATGTAAATAGATAACCTACTAAAAATGTAAATAATCAACTACAAATACAAAAGTATTTTTAACAATAAATTACATAGTAAAATTATTCATGCATGAAATTATATGCATATTTATGTATTATGTCTTTCTATATGCAACATATACATGTATTTTGTGGATGTAGTAAATATCTATCTACTGATATATGGAGGTACAAAGCTGTATTATACATACATCTGGAAGAGGCCTGAACTGTATTTCACACAATACATGAGGGTTTAAAAACTTAAAATCCATACAATGTTAGGCCATTTTAAGTAAGTGGCCCCTTCCCCTCTACGGCCCCCAGCTTCAGGATTGCGAATCTCTTAGGAAATAAACTTTCCAATGACTCCAACAGGCTGGAGAAGAGACGACCTGTGAATCCTCTCTCACACCCCATCTCTCCTGTCAGGAGCACTGTAACTCCTCTAGCATCTAGTCTGGGGCCAAAAACCCTTTTTCTGCAAGGGTTGCAATTGGCCAAATGCAGACATCTGACAGAGGCCACGGATCTCTTGAACCAAAGGAACCAAACCCACTGCCTGCAAGTTGATTCTGCCTTGTCATAAGCATGTGGGTCAGAGTAGAACTATGCTCCGAGTGTGTCAATTTCCCTAGTAAGAAGCTGTGCTGCAATCCCGAAGGCACGTGGTTCGAATCCAGCAGCTGACCCGCGGGAAAAGGCTGGACAATCTCCTCCCATGTGATGAACTGCCTCAGAAAACCCGCTGGAGGGTCAGTTGTGGGTCGGTTCCGACTCGACAACACACAACAACAATCTTTACCGGATCCATGTCACATCCACAGCCCACAGAGTTCCACCCAGTTAGCCTCTCATTTCAGTCGAGGCAGAGCCAAATCCACAGACCCTCCACCGAGTTTTCCGAGGTTGTACATCACAAGGAATGTGATCGCCTTTCTCCCTCAGAGCATCATCAGGGACATGCCACCTTTGCGTCAGCCACTTGAGCCCGTTGTTGTGAACTGCGAGGTCGAAACCAACCCATCGCTGAGCCTCCAGTAAATCACACAGGATGGGGTGGCCCAGCTTTCTCTCGCCGAGCAGCCAGTGGATTCGAACCGCATGCCTTCAGGGTGGCAGCCAGAGTTTCCGCATTACACCCCTAGGGATCACAAACCCGCTGTCATCTAGCTAGACTCATGAAAAGGTTCCTCAGACTGTAAATATGGTCTCATCCTTGACCTGCCGGGCGTGGCTGATGGATTCGAACTCCTGATCCTTCAGCTACCAACTCTCCACATTTCCCCCAGTATGCTTCCTGAAGACAAAATGAAGATATTTCAAATGGGTGAAGAGCCACTCATCCCCGGAAAGAAAAGACCCAACTGAACCTCCACCACCTGGAAGTCAGCACCGGCAGCTTCAGGGAAAGCTGGCAGGGGTAACTCACTTCTCCTTTCCAACACGGATGGGGGGCCACGCAATCACCAGAAGCTGGGTGTTCACTGGTTACCAGGAGTGAAGAACCGTGACGCTCTGCTCTTGCGTCTGACAGGTTGCTCTCACGCTGGGCGTGGCCTTTCTCAAAACCCCGGATACAAGGTTTCCCGACATCCTTCGCGTGTGCCTGCGGGGAGACGCTTTCTGCTCAACCTTGGGGTCCAGGTGGATGGGTAGTGAAGGCCCAGATCCGACCAGAGGGGAGATGAGTCTCCTCAGGCAGGCCCCCAACCCCCCCCCCCAACAGAGGTTCAGAGGCACTGAAACACTCCGCAACTGTCATGGAACGTCATGGGCAGAGTCGCTCCTCTGTCCATCTCTTCACAGGCCCAAAGGCCTGAGGTCCACGGAAGAGAGGGGGTGCTGGGTTGATCCTAGAGGCCCCCTCCTGATGAGAGAGGGAAGCCCAGCCACTTCCTGCCCCTGCTATTACAAGGGATAGTGCTCTGACTGGGGTAGCGTCCTCAGACGTGGTCTTTCTCCACTTTAGAGGAGAGCACATGGGATGGCTTCCTAGGTGAAATGGGATGTGAGATAGGTGTGAAGGTGGTCACACAGAAGGGGCAGTCAAAGTAACTATCTCCAGACAGAGGGTGCCACACGAACACACCCTTGTCATCTAGCCATTCGGAGAACTCATTTGGACGTCTTTGCCTGCAGACAGACTGAAGGCAGGTTGTGCAGGGCCTCCTCACGGGCAACTCAATGGAACTTCCATCTCGGGCACAGAACCGGAAAGAAACCTCCCTTGCCCTTGTTGCCAACCATGGGACACTCTGGGCAGATGTCTTTCCCCAAAGCTTCCCCATATTGCCATCTCAAGTATCTCAGTGAAGACCTTTGTCCGACTCCCAGGCTCATGTTAGCAGAGGTTCCATACTCTGCTGGTCAGCAACATAAGGGAAACACTTGTCTTCCCTAGTTGTCAAACGAGATTTTCTTGGCTCAGGTCACTTACTATTTTTCTCTAGGTCAGTGTCTTGTGCACCCTCCTGCCTGCTACACGTGTGAGTCATCATTTCTCATGGTTGGAAGACACAGAGCTGCAGGTATGAATATAACCTTCAGTCTCTAAGTAAGAAACTGGGTCTAGCAGATGCTAAGGTTCCCACAGCTAAGGAGAAGGCCACCTCTTCTGAAGCTTCAAGGGCTCTTCAGAATTCTCAGCAAGCAATCATCTCATTTGCCAGTCCATCAAGCAAATTGGATAAGGGCATCCAAGCTCAAGACTACACCATGCCAAGCACTTCACACAGCTCATCAGAAATGGAGGCCTTGCTCATGGATGCATTACACAACAAGATGGTTGAGGTGGTACTGTTCCTGTGTATAAAATATCTAACAAAGGAACCCATCACAAAGCAAGAAATGATAGAGATGGTCATCAAAGAGCATGAAGAATACTTTGTTGAGATCTTCAGGAAAGCCTGTGGCCATATGGAAAAAATCTTTGGCATAGATGTGAAGGAAGCAGACTCCATTGACCACACCTATGTCTTTGCCAAAACACTAGGCCTCACCTGTGATGAGATACTGAGCAAAGATCAGATCATGCCTAAGAATGGCCTCCTGATAATTATCCTCAGTCTAATATTCACAAAGGGCAACCGCATTGCTGAGGAGAAGTTGTGGAAATTATTGAATATGATCGGCTTGTATGCTGGGAGCAAAGATTATATCTTTGGAGAACCCAGGAAGCTCATCACTAAAGTTTGGGTACAGGAAAGGTACTTAAAGTACCAGCAGGTGCCTAAAAGTGATCCTGCCTGCTATGAATTCCTGTGGGGTCCAAGAGCTTATGCAGAAACCAGCAAGCTAGAAGTTCTGCAGCATATTGCCAAGGCCAATGGCATTGAAGCCAATGCCTTTGGACCCTGGTATGAAGCAGCTTTGAGAGAGGAGAAACAGAGCACCTGGGCCAAAATTATTGACATTGATGATACCACTATTGGACACTGAAGTTCCATTTTCACAGTCTTCAGCTTCTCCTGCCCCAATTGAAGTCTGAAGCAGATTCTTCACTCCGTGTTTGAAAGGCAGTCAGTGAGGGGGAAAGGGGAACAGGGAGGAAAATGTGCAACAATGAACGATTGGAAACCCAAGTTCTTTGAGACTTTAATGGAAGTTTATAATTAAAAAAGAAAAAAAGAAAAGATAGTCAGCATTCCAAATAGTAGAGAGCCAGGCAGGACTGAAGGAACACAATGGAGAACATACTTGTCTTACTCTGAATGGATGAGTTGCAGATTTATCAAGAGTTTTCCTTTTTAGCGTGTTTCAAGTGTTCCTTTTAATAGCGATGTTAATTAGCTCAGAATCTAAGCTTCTGGACGACACTAGGCACACATTTATTGCCGTCTATCTGGCTTTAACAAAACCCTCCAAAAATATTTGGGAAGTTTCCATCTTAATTGTGATTGAAAACAAGATAGCGTAGCATTGGAATACAAATTTCCTTGCAAATTAAAAAAAAATTAATAAAAACCCACCCCTGCAGTAAGATAGATGGGATCAAAAAATAGAAGGGGAAAAATTAAAATACTGTTCCTTTTGGAATGTCCTTATTGCTCTAAGTCTGTTATTCTGTAACATTAAAAGATATATAGGAATTTGAATGAATATAGGAGAAATAAAATTTTAATAAGAACCTTCACAGTGGCTCATTTATTCCCCAAACATGAACTGAACATTTGCTTTGTGGAAGGTGTAGTGTTGTGGGGATTGGTAAAAAGATCCCAAGATAAGCAATCTATGCCCTTCCTACACACCTATAGAATGACAGAGTCAAAATAACAAGACGGTAGGACATCATCTACGACCTAAAGACCAAATCAAATGAAGGATAACAAGGAACCCTCCAGATGGGAGCAACCTAGTGTAAATGTCCAAGCCAGACAGTTTGGGGAACTAGTAAACTACAATTCCTTCTGTGGGAGGGAATTTACATAAAATTGACAGGATCGTGGGAAGCAAAGGTCAGACTCTTGGCTAGTGTGTTTCAGAGTTGAGAGAAAAGCCTAAAATGGAGAACTGATAAAGCAGAGAGAAAACTTCATCTGGAACAGGAGTGGACAGTATCCCCTTGTTCCAGTGCACCTGAATACAGCATATGTCATGGTTACTTTATATATCTCAACTGCCAATATAAATTAACTAAAAATGGGGTTGCTTTCACAGTTAAAAAGGCCATTTCTAGATCCATCTTGAAATATTGTTGAGTGAAAGGATAATATCCATTTGCCTACAAGAAAGACCTGTTAAGACCACTGTCATTCTAATTTATATGCCTACAACCAAAGCCAAAGAGGAGGAAATAGATGATTCCTATAAACTGTTGCAGTCAGAAATTTATCAAATATTTAACCAAGATAACATTAATAATAATGGGTGACTAGAATGCAAAAGTTGGGAATCAGGAAGAAGGACCAGTAGTCAGAAAATAACGGATTTGGTTAAAGAAATGAGGCTGGGATTAGAATTATAGAATTCTGTATGATCAATGGTTTATTCTTAGCAAATACCTTTTATAAGATACATAAACAGGTTATACACATGGATTTCACCTGATGGGATGCACAGGGATCAGATTGACTACATCTGTGGAGGGAAACATTGGAGAAGTTCAATATCAGCAGGGAAAACTAGTCCAGGTGCTGATGGTGGAGCAGACCATCGACTGTTCAAATGCAAGTTCAAATTAAAACTAAAGAAGGTTAAATCATATCCATAGGAATAAAAATTTGACCTTCAGTCTATCTCCCATGAATTTAAAAACCAACTCAGGAATAGGTTTGAGGCCTTTAACACTAATGAACAAAGAACAGATAAGCTGTGGGAAGATATAAAAAATCTTATTCATAAAGAATGCAAAAAGTCATTAAAAAGAAGGAAAAAGAAGGCCAAAATGGATATCAGAAGAGACTCTGAATATTGTGCTGGAGTGCTGAGAATCAAAAGCAACGGGAAGAAATCAATAAGTTAAGGAGCTGAATAGATTTCAAAGGGCTGCTCTGGAAGACAAGGCAAAATATTACAATAAAATGTGCAAGGAGCTGGAGTTGGAAAATCAAAAGGGCCAAACTGAAGAATAAATTTAAGCCATGAGTTGCAATGCTTAAGGATGCTATGGACAGAATATTTAATGATTCACAAAGCATTAAAAGAAGGTACAGAGTCATTGTACCAAAAAGAATTGGCTGACACAGAAGATTTTCAACAAACATATGATCAAGAGGCAATGCTGATGAAGGAAGAAGTGCGTGCTGTTGTGAGGGACTTAGCAAAAATAATACCAACTGACATATTTCAGCAGATGCTGCCCTGAATGTGCTCACCAAGTTGTGCCAAGAAATCTGGAGGAAAACTACTTGGCTAACTGACTGGAAGAAATCCGTATTTATTCCCATTCCAAAAAGAGGTGACCAGACAGTGTGGAAATTATTGAACAACATCACTAATATCACATACTAGCAAAATCCTGCTGATAATTCTCTAGAAAAGACTTGAACCGTATATTGACAGAGAACTACCAGAAATAACTAGGTGTAGAAGTGGTTGTGGCACTAGGGATATTATTGCCAATATCAGATGGATTGTGGCAGAGAGTTCCAGAAGAATGTCTATCTGTGTTTCATTGACTGTGCAAAGGCATTTGACTGTGTGGATCACAGTAAATTGTGGCTAACCTTGAGGAAAATGGGAATCTTAGAAAATGTGTTTGTGCTTATACAAAACCTATACTTGGCCCAAGATGCAGTCCTCAGAACAGAGCAAGGAAACACTGCATGGTTCAAAATCAGGAAGGAGTGCATCAGGAATGCATCCTGTCCTTGTACCTTTTCAATCTGTATGCAGAACAGATTATTTGGAAGGCAGGGCTTTATGAGTGTGGCATCAAAATTAGAAGAAGCCTCATTAACAACCTATGATATGCAGATAAAACAACCTTGCTTGCTGAAATGGAAGACCTGAAACACTTGCTGCAAAAGGTCAAGGACTATAGTCTTCAATATGTATGGAAACTCAGCATCAAGAGAACAAAGATTCTCACCACTGAGCCAATCGGCAGCACAATGATAGGTTGTTAGCAGTTACAGCTTGCCTGGATCGTCTATCAACACTCTTCCTACCAACAGTCAGGAAATCAAACGACGAATTGCATTGGGAAAATCTGCTGTCATGGACCTCTCCAGAGTGCTGAAGAGCAACGATGTTAGTCTATATACAAAGGGGTGCCTAATCCAGACCATGGTCTTCTCAAACTGCTTGTTATGCTGCGGAGAGTTGGATAATGACAAAGGATGACAGAGGAAGAATAGATTCCTTCTAGCTGTGGTGCTAGAGAAGAGTCTTGAACATACCATGGACTACCAAGAAAACAAATCGGTCTGTCTTGGAGAGGGTGAAACCAAGTCTCTCCTTGGAGGCTAGGATTTCGAAGCTCTACCACACTTACTTTGGGCCTGTGGCCAGCAGAGGTTGGTCCTTGGAGAAGAGGGGACAGACGGTGTGAGGGAGGAAGACCCTGGATAGCATGGGTTGATACAGTAACTGGGGGCAATGGGGGTTACTGTGTCAGAATTAATGAGATTGGCTAAGGACAGGGAAGGGTTCAGAGATGCTGTACATAGGGTCACTATGCTTCACAGGCAACTCAGCGGCACATAAAAATAACATACTATGACATGTTTGGAAACAGGAGCGGCATATACTTCCTAAACAACATGCCTCCAGAAACTATGAACTTTGATAAAGGTCGATAGTTGTAGGGTCACTATGAGTCGTGCTCAACTCAAAGGCTATTAACAAAAACAAGTCCTTTCATTGATGCTTGTCTTTCACTGGCCTGGCACTCTTTTCCCTGGCCGTGGACAGCTGGAACCCACTCTGTTTAAAAGGACATTTTAACTAAGGTATTTCATAGTAGGATTTTTGGTCTGAGTAGCATGGATGCATACGGTGTTTGAGATGGAAAAGCAATAGGGAGTGAGGAGAAAGTGTTGACCCTTGACTGAAAATCTAGATTTGCATTAGATACAGCTGATAAAGACGGTCTCACACTCAAATAAGCTATCATCTAAGGGAAAAAATCAACCGAGCTCTTCGTAAAGCAACATTTTTGCTGATTTGGTGTGCCTTGTCTTAGGGTGCTGGCATATTTTCTGAGATGTTCTGGTTAACTACCAGAAAAATTCCCAGAGGAATTGATGGTGATCTGTGGTCAAAAATAGTACTTGAGACAACTTCTTTTCATTCAGGATCCAGCCTGTGTCAGGCATTGTGCCAGGGAGTTTATATAAACATCACTTCATTACTCCTTCAGGAGGGGGCTTGTCAAGCCCATTTCCTAGATGAAGAACCTAAAAGCTCATATCTGCTCAATATGACTATTATGTGACAAGGGAGCTCTCTCTGGTGGCTTAGTGTTAAGAAATTATGCTGCCAACATAAAAGCACATGGTTTGAGTCCACCAGCTGCTCCACAAGAGGGGCGATCTCCTCTTGTGCAATTTACTGCCTCTGAAAACCACCTGGATGGTCAGCTATAAGTTGGTGCCAACTTGATAGCACACAACAACAGCATTTACCTCCAGTATCTTCCCCATTATGCCCTTGTCCCCTACTGGGCAACCTGGCCTTGTCTCCAATTCTTAAGGCTTTGCTCCACTCCCAAAGAATTCAGAATTTCTCTTCTCTCCTGGAATCTCCCTACTCTGTGTAAAAATCCCCTGGAAGCTGCTCCCTCACCCTGATACCTCTGTGATGGCAGCAGCTCCTTTAAAACAAAAGTTCTTTTTGGATAGTAATACTTAGACACATGATCATGCCGACTGGGCATCTTTGACACATTCTCATTGTTTGCCAAATTGGCTAGTTAAGTGGATGCGACCTGGCCTGTTATCTACCAGTTCTTGGGACATAATCCCAAAGTTCTGGAAACCTTGACTGTTTTATTGGAA